CTTAATGCCTTGAACCCTTTTACTCTGTTTGATCATAGATAGGTTGCTTCCATCCCCCCACATCACCTGCAGACGTGGTTTAGTAGGGTTGCAGTGCTAGTCAAGTTTGTTTTCACTGACAGGTATGTTTTCAGCAGGTTTAGCTCCTGCTGCCTTTGTGCCCAACCCTTACATCATCAGTGCTGCTCCACCAGGAACGGATCCCTACGCAGCAGGGCTTGCGGCAGCTGCGACTTTAGGTGAGGTGCTTCAAAATGCTCTCTGCTCTGGGACAGAAACCCCCAAATACTTGGGGCTCCAAGGGGCCATCCTGCTTATGTCTCACAGAATTAGCTTAGCATCTTGAGTCACAGTATCCTTCCCAGCTTGCTGCCTTCCCTTGCGTTGGATTTCAGAGCAGCGAGATTTAGAACGTGGCTTGGAAAGGGGGGGGGCAGGAAAGCAACACTGACCCCAAGTATGTTGCTTAGCTTGTCCAGACCCTTATGCAAGTAAAAACTGAGAACTTCTATGGAGTCTACCCATCGTACAATCTTGGGTATTTGCAGAACTATGCTTTTGGCTGCTTTATTCTGCAAATGGATGGATGCAAGTTGATTATTGTATCAAAAGTTACCCTACAGATTGGGCAACCTAATTCCTTATATTGCTATCAAAATAAAAGGGAGGATAACCAGGTAGTCCTCACTTACTGACTGCAATTGGGACTGGCAGCTGCATCGCTGAGCAACACAGTAAGCAACCAGATAATAATGCCCAACTGCCTGTTCCCTTTCTTTTTTTAATATAATAACACCACTCTATGTGAAATTAGTCAAACAGAGGGTGTAAATACAGCATTTAAAAAAGGGGAAAAAATCATGTGACCATGCCTGACTTACAGTGCTAGTTCATCAGTTCTGGCTGCAGTCATTAAATGAATCATTGTGGGTCATTAAGTGTGATGTCACATGACCGTGACTTGTGACTTTCTGCCGCTTCTCCATTGACTTTCCTTGTCAGAAGCTGGCTGTGAAGATCACAAATAGTGATCGTGTGACTATGGGACACTGTGACCATCATAAATGCATGCCAGTTGTCAAGTGCCTGAATCGCAGTCACATAACTATGGGAACGCTGTGACAGCTGTAACTCTGAGGACTGGTCATAAGTCTCCTTATTCAGTGCTATTGTGACTTCAGACAGTCACCGTGAACAAATGGTCAGTAAGCGAGGACTACCTGTAGAGTGGCTCTCAGTTCCTTGGAGGAAGTGTGAGATTAAAACATGATAAATAATAAAACAATAATAAAGGCTGAAACTGTTTTTCCCTTTCTGGCTCTTTTCCTTCTTTCCCAGCTTTCTTGCCAGCTAAAACTAATTACCAGTTCTCTGCTTAGAAGCAGTCAGTTTGAGCCAATTGCATCCATAAATTCCAAGTATATTTTCCAGCCCGCTACAGAAATATTTACTTGACACTTTTTGCAAACACTCAGTTAATTATTGTCCAATCAAATTTATAGATCATCTGAAAAAAATTACAATTTATTTATCTCATAATTAACAGAGAAGGGAGTAGGTTAAAATTTAGAATATGATAAATCATGATTCAAGTTTAAATGTGGTAATATCCTCACTTGTAACTCTATACTTCCTGAATATGTGAGCTTGATTTAAACATTAAAATTAAATATTTTTGTTGTTTAAGTAGAACCTTTATATTAACAAGGTTTGAATAAGTATATAATAATACATAAATATAGTAGTTTCAGTGAATTGGAAAACAGTATGATATATCATTTAATAAGTTCATCATTGTTGTCAAACACTAGTTTGGGAATTAGAGAACTAACGTTGCATATATTTTTCTTGTATTTTAAAATATGTACCTCAGGTACTATAATTTTATATACAGTTTTCCTTTTTAAAAAATTTACAGACATTTCTAAAATTCTGTTTTCACTTTGTCATTATGG